TGGGACCTGCTGCCTGCTTCCCCACCATCTTAGGCTGCAGATGGTTTCTCACTAGGCTTTTGCCAACATAAACACGGCCTCCAAGCTCTGAGGCATAGAGCCTGCTGTGGATTCAGCGAGTGCTAAGTCAATTAAAGTGACCCCTGAAGCACAAGGATAGCAGGAAATCCCTGAATCTCACAGTACTGGAAGCTGGGGGGTATGCCAAGGACTGCATGCTGCCTGCTCTTACTCACGTGCTAGGGCATCTGCTATGAGCTACTGCTAGAGACAGGATATGGGGCAAAATCAAGCCCAGATCAATCACAAAATTCTTGGAGAAAAAGCTATTGAAAAATCCCTGTCAACCTTCATTTGACATCAAACGACATCATGCACCTTGCAGCAGGTCTGAGGAGAGACTGCAGCTGGAGCTACGAGGCTGCTTAGGAGCAGGGTATAAACAGGAGATGCAACCACATTAGTGCTGACACTCAGAGGCAGCCTTGGGCTACCTTCTGGCAGAGAGTGAGGGAGAGGAGCCTCACCACCGGCCTCCCACACAAACAGATCTTCTCCAGCTACGCCTTTCTGAAGCGGCTGTGGTGAACGGGCCGTGGTGGAGAGGCACAGAGAGGAAGCCCGGAGCAGAGGGATCTTCTACATCTCTAACTGCACTGTCCCAAAGGACTTGAAGGAAAGGTAACAAAATTCCTCTACCACAGTGACCCCATAGAAGCACATCTGGAGCTCAACTGTTCCTCAGTAGTAGAAATAATTATTCTTTAACTTTAAATAGCATCCAGTGGCTAAAAGCAGATCACAGAAGTAGGCTGGTAAACTCACCCCACATCAAGCCAGGATAATGGACAGTGGGGTGGCTCCTCCCATTATCATCACTTCTCCCTTCTGGATGGTGTCAGAGTCCCTCTGGCCATGGGGTAGATGGACAGGAGAATATCCACCTTGCATCCCCATGAAGGCTGGGATCAGTTTATACCATCAGCCCTGCCAGGGCACTGGTGATGGTGTGCAGGTCTCCTCACAGCCACATAGATGCTGAGGAGGGACTTAGGTGTTAGCACTATTATACGAGGGCTGTGTGGAGGCCAGTGGTGTCTAGAGACTTAAGTCTAGTCTTTCAGGATCAATTAGCCAAGTTAACTGGAGCACCTAAAGAAATGACATGGGGCCATCTGTATCAGTGATTTTTCCATCAACATGTCTGGCCAGTTTGAGCCACCAAGCTGCACTGTTACAGTATGATGAAACTACCAAAGGAGCGAATGGAATAGGACAAATGAGGAACTGCTCTCCAGTTTCTATACTAGTTTAGGAGAAAAAGGAGGAAAAACAATTCCAGAGGTTGTTAGCTTTGAAAGAGAGCCTGAGGATTAACGTGTATTGTTACTGTAAATGCTGGGCTGAAGCTTTCCGAGCCCAGAACATGCCCCAGCACAGCACATCCCCCATGGCATTTTGATTTCAACCTTAATTTTCTCATATAGGTAAGCCCTGGAAATTCTGAGGGTTACTCTGATTATGATCCTTGGATACCCTAGATGAATATTTAGTCTAGCCTACAAAGAAGTACCAGTTCAAGGATAAGACTGACTTGCCCTTTGCCATGGCAGCTGAGGAGAGGGAAAACCGAAGAAGTGCGTTTTCCCATACTACTCCTTGTGAGAAAAGAGCTGTTTGTCAGGCTGCTTCATTCAGTCATAGGTTAGGCTCAATAGGCCAAATTTTGCACATAGTTGCCCCCTGAGAGGAGCAAAATACACAGTTTGGAGCTGCTGTTAAAGAGCTCAGTCATTGCTTGTGTTTTAGGTGAAAGAGTAATGAATGGAGGTTTAGGCAGCAGGAAAATGCAGAAATTTATCCAGCTGTTTCAGAAAGGGCTTTTCTTTCTAAAATTGCCCAGAAGTTTTACTTTATTTCAAAATACTCTAAGTGCTAATTCTGAAGCCTCTGACACGCTCCTTGTTTCATTACTAGGTGGTTATTATGAGACAAGGAGCCCTTTCTGCTGACTGTAGGGGTCTCCAGCTACAGAAATTTGACATCTGTTTGATATTATTATTCCATTACAAGAATAAATCTTCACTCCCCTGGCTTTCTTGTGGGCTCTGACACATTCCACTTCAGTGACAAATGTCCCTTGAGACAGCAGTGATTTGGAAGGGTGGGAGGTATTTCTGTAGAGGAACTGACAAATGGTTTCCCTGAGAAGTTGAAGTACCCTCAGGAAGTAGACAGAATTTCTGCAGCAACATGGAGCTGAAAAGAAAACCTTCAAGTTGCAAGAGATTTGTGGCAACCCAAAAGGTTCTTCTCCAAAGAACTGAATTTGCCTGTGTCATTATAGACTTGCACAAGAAACCACAGCAGCCTGAAGATCACAGCAGTGTGTACTCACAGGTTTCCTCACACGTGGAAGCAGGCTACAACAAAGCAGCATGTTCTTGACCTTCTGAACAATTTCAGCTTCTGTTTTGCACAGAAGCGAGAGCTCCTACTGGGTTGCATCCAGTCATTCCAGTGGAAATTTGAGACCAAATGAATCTGTTTCATAGAAGTTTGCCAAACCCAGGCTGATAGCAGGATTAGCCACCAGCCCAGAGCTCACAGATGATCCCACTCCAAGAACACTTTAAAGTATGCTGGTAGTCAGGACGGTAATACAGTGTAATAGGTCCTTTCACTCAGTGATCTCCAAATACTTTACAGATGTGAATGCAGAAGTGAAAAATGGAATTTCCCAGCCCTACTTTGCAGAGAACTTTTTTTGGGGCTTAACCCTGTTCAAGCAATTAATCTTGGCTAACAGAAATAGAAAAGCTGGGACAGGGGCCCCAGGAACTCACTTCCCATTACTTGGATGAAAACATTAGATATGAGATCACTGCCTTACAAGATAAGAGTTCATTGTTTCATGGCTGAGTGTCTTCTCCCTTCAGTGCAGAGCTTAGCTCATGTAAACTAAACACAGAACCAACCCTTCCTCTCCAGCAGCAAGCACAGAAAAGGCAAATTATCTTTCTGGCCCCATCACTGACATCACAGGAGCAGTGGGTGCAATGAGCTTTGCAATTAACACCACAAGCATAAATCTCAGAGCCAATTTTGTGATGGCTGAGACCATCATCTAGGTTCTTATTCCATTGTTCCCATTCTGTCATCAACGCTAACGTTGCAACACCCTTGTGGTCTCCTGGCCAGAGGGAAGTGGGAGCGTTTCCTTGAAGGATTAATTAGTGACCACAATCAAACCAAAAAAAAAACCCCACAAATCAACCCTGACAACTCTTAAATCTTTCTACTTGTAGAGCCTCTTGCAATTTCCTAGTTGTGATTTACCAGTTTTCTAGATTCCAAGAATTTCTTCCCCCTAAATAACCCACAAATTTCTAACATAATACTACACGGTAATCAGCTGACATTTCAGTCAAGCTTTTTTATCAAATATAAAGACAAACCAGAGCACAAATACAGAATTCCCTTCTCTGAATTTACCCTTGGGTATTTTTAATCCAGCTGGCCAGGCAGTGTTCCTGTGTTCATATTCACAGACGTGGGGGCTGCATCACTGGCTGATAGCAAGTATCTTGGCATGGTAAGTGGGCAACTGCAGCTGGATGAATTGATGCACAGGCTGGCTGTCATATGGGACACATCTACGCCATGCTGCTGAACAGCAAAGGAGAGACTCTGGGTGCAGCACAATGCTGCACATGGCCCCCCCATCAAGAGATGCTGAAATTCTCCATGGCACACTCATTCCTCTCAAAACTTGGTTCACCAGCTGTGACTGAAGGAAAGGCTGGATCCTCAGCATTTCAGTCCCTATGTCCTACCTCTCTCCACCCCCAGCCAGCTGGGCAGTCAGGCTGTACACTAAGAAACACGGCTCAGCAGACAGGTAGCTGTTGTCACTAGACATGGGACATGATGCCTCCTGCCTCAGGGGAGACAGGATTAACTGCGGGCTGATGACACACATACCACCCACTCTCTTCCATTTATGCAGGAACACACACACACAGCTGGCTGGAGATGCAGAAAGAGGGAAGATCAAACATAGCTCCCTCAGCTGTGAAGAAAAGACCCTACAGCATAGAGCCAGGCAGCAGCCTATTAATCAGGCACAGACTGCAGTTCTCTGCCACTCCTTATCAGCATCATCTGCTCCTTCAGGAAAGGCAGGAAAAGCTGCTTAGGAGCCTGGGGCTTCCCAAATATTATTACTTTTCTTCCTTAACAGTTGTTCTCACTTTCCTTTTTACAGTAACCTCTCCAGATAGTCACGGAGATTTTAATATACCTTCTACTTTTCAGAAAGAGGAGCTCAGTGCCAGAGCTGCCCATACAGCACTGATGTTGTGGTTCTGCTCTTCACATATCAGATCCCCTGGTACATCAGAGATCCTCTATCCCAGCTAGTCAGTAAGAATGGAAATATGCACTTGGTCTGTCCCACCATTAAGAAGACAATGCTTGCGGTCGTGGGCTTCTCACTCCACAGACTTCAGTGCCAGCAGGGAAGCTCCTATTTTTAACAAAGCAACAGGCAGGCAGTCTGAAGACCCACACGGACATCACCACATGGAGCAACACACCATTTCCAGTTAGATGATCTCCTTCACAATGGTGAAAAGCTAAAAACTTCCTTTACAAAATATAAACAAACCAAAGTTTAGATCCTGCTTATGCTGAATGAGGCTCATAAATGCGTGATGGAGGCCAGCCCCAGCCCCCAGGGCACACGTCTGACACCTCTGGCCTATATGGACAGGAAATGGTTATAAATAGTCAGTCCCATTTCAGTTCTCTGAAGACAAATATTTTTGACACAGAGCGCTCAAGCACAAGGACTCATTTGTAGACCACCCAGGAGGCTTGCGTTTAAATAACCTTTCTTTGCTTGGACGATCAATTATACTAATGTTTATTTCACGAGTTGCAACATTTGTTCTTAAATGGAAGCAGCCCAGAGGAGCCACGGATATAATCCCACTTACTTGTTGGTAACTGCCTGCATAAACTCATCAATCAGTTCGTCGTACTGTTTCCCACGAACCCTCTTGTGTTTCAGTCCAATATAGAGTGGATCACTCAGGAGAGCCTAGGACACAAAGCAATTCTGTTGACATCCTCTCTTCCATGGATGGACAGAGATTTATGTCCCAGCCTACCCAAAAAGTGTCTCTGTTGTGGTGGTATTAATTTTACTTACTAAGCAGTGAAGGCTAGCTCACACAGATCCTCCTGGGCAGAGTCTTTCTGTAAGAAGCTATGGACTATCTTTCTGTGTAAATAAAGTTGGAGGGATGCAACGCTTCTTGCCTGCTGTAGGAAATGGAGCTTTACATGCCCAGAACAGCTCTACCAAGACTCCCTGACAAAATGCCTCACTCCTAGTGAATAAAACTGACATTGTGCAGGGAATGTTTACTGTTCATTCAGTTACTACATTTTCACAGAGGTTACCAGGAAAGCTATTGACCACAAACAGCACTTTGAGCAATGAAGATCACCTGAAGTAACTTGAAATTACATGTGTCATTTAGGCCTTTAAGTGGTAGCCCAGAGTTGATCAGAACCAGTGTTCAGATGCCAAAATGTTCCCAAGCCCTGCACCTCCCTAGCACTCACCTTGGTTATCTGTGGGTGTCAAGGCAAGGTATTTTCATACAACACATTAGTTTTTTTGGCTCCTGCTAGGATTCTAAAACCAGGCCATTCCTCCAACCAATCCCTTAGAAGAGAATATTAAAGGGGTTTTCCTCTGAGTTTGATACATAACTCATCAGGGACAACAAACAAAAAGCAGCCCTGTTTTTATTACCTCCCTGATTGCTCCTGTAGCACCATGTGCTCTGGGGCTGGTTCATGGAGCATAAAATTCTACCACAAGCAGGCTGAGAAATGCCAAGCTCTGAAAAGACCAATTTCCTTAAAAAGTACGCAAAGTATTCTGGGCTGTCAGAAGAAGAAGCTGGGAATTGATGCTAAAAATATAACACAACTGCAGTGTTTACTCCATTCTACCTGAGGTTCCTGCATGGGTGACACAGTCACCAAACCTGAACAGGCAGAGATGAGCAGGATGAATGCCCCTAAGAGCTGTCTTATTTCTGCACTGATAAGCAAGGTTACTCATGGGTCAGGATGCTCCTAGGACATGTTTAGGGTTTGACTAAACTGGGTTTATTGACATAAGAAAGCCATTAAATAAATAAACCAATGATTTATAAGATGAGGAAATATATTGGTCATATCGCTAGAAAAGAGCAATTCCTGTGTCTTAATCCCAGACGTGGAAATTGCCTCCACAGAGAAGCTCCTGGACACATAAGTTAGTTACACTTGATCACGGTCAGAATAGCAGTGCCCAGGTGATGCTGTGAGTCCCTTTTTCTGATCATCTGACTCTTAGAGATGCCTAAAAATCATTGGTGCCACTTTGGATTTTAGTGTTCCCTGGATGCTGAGATAGAAACAAGTAGTCAGAAGCTAGTCATGGGAAGGGAAGCACTTTCACCCAGGTCCCTCTGAAGGGGAGCTTCAGCTGAGGGGCTCAGAGCATGCCAGCACTCAGTGGTGTGCAGACCAGCATGGAAGAGAGCAGAGAATCACAGGATGACAGAATGATAGGGGTTGGAAGGGACCCCTAGGGATCTAGTCCAACACCTCTGCTAAAGCAGGATCACCTAGACCAGGTTGCACATCACTGCATCCAGATGGGTTACGAAAGTCTCCAGAGAAGGAGACTCCACGACCTCTCTGAGCAGCCTGTGCCAGTGCTCCATCACCCTCAAAGTGAAGATTGCCCTTAAAGGTGAAGAAGCCCAAGTCAAGTACAATGCTCTATTGACTGAAGATTCCAAGAAGTGAAAGACTAAGACTTAATTCCTGCTTTAGCCTCAGAGAATCCAACTTTTCACTTCAGAGTTCCCACTTAGAGTTCCCACTTTTCAGGAAGGACCATGTATCAGGCTGAGATGAGCACACCCTATATTCCACCAGTCCGTGACAAGCCTCTGTGCTGCAGAGATAAAATAATCCTGTGACCACAGACCAAAGACATAATTGAGAATCTCATCCCAGCTGTCATCTATGGCCACTGATTTTGCTTGCTTTCATTTTGTTTCAAGTGTCCAGTGGGAGGCACCCATGGCTGGAGTGAAAGAGGTGCAAAAAACTAGCTTTCCAGTGAGCATAAGCATGTCTGAAAATGTCAGTACTCATTCTCTTCATACACAAAGTCAAAGCTCTTATACCCCAGATTTCTTATTTCTCTCAAGAAACACATGTTTGGTTTATTTGGGGTCAAGTGAGGCACAAGCACATTTTCCAAAAATGGCCAAACCCAGGCCATCACAAATAACTATAGGATATTCATTTAAAAAAAAAAGACATCCCAACAGCTGTCCATTCTGGCATTGCTAAAATGTTGCACTTGGGCTCTTCTGAGCCAGAGTCATAAGGCAAAAATCTGCAAACAGATGGAGTCCTCTTGTCTGGTTCTCATGTGCAGTAAAGTGTGCAATCTGACAAAACACTGAAATTAATCATTCCCAATCCACCCACCAGGGAGTCTCCATTTTCTGGTCTACACAGGCACGAGTTATCTGCTTGAGTGTCTGTTTCCTCACAATTACCAAAGGAAGAATAAATCTGAGACTTCCTGCACAAAATCTTTCAACTCACCTGCCCATATATGCCAAGAGGCAGAGCTGAACCTTCAGCTCCAACTGGCAACACTCTGAGTCTTCTCACCAGGGGACCATGAGGCTATTTAGTGTTTATTTCAGTTCCCCAGAAGAGCAAAAGTTTCTTGAGCATCAAACAGAGTGAAACCTGCCCACATCCCTGCAGTGCTGGTCTAGGGATGGTCTCATCTTGGACGTCTCTGGCTTTGCCTCCACATTTAGGGAACTGGCTCAGAGAAGCATTAACCTCAAACCCTTCTCCCATCTGACTGATTTATGGAAAAAATAAGTCTTACCTCATTGTCTGTGCCAACATCCAGCAGGACAGGGAGACACTGTTGTGGGTGAACTCCCCCACAAGCTGTGTACAAAGCAAGCTTCCCCACTGGGATACCCATGCCGTAACTGCCCAGATCTCCTAAACCCAGAATCCTCTCTCCATCTGTCACCACGATAGCCTGGAAGGATCAAAAAAAGACTGTTTTGTGGTGCTGCTCAGGGCTTTAGAAGCAAACCCATCTTCACACCGATCCCATTTTACAGTTGCATTGTGCAATGGATATTTGCTCCTTCTGCATGATGCTATGTTAATTAGTGGTTAATGACAGAGGGCTGTTCACTTTTTGGGAGCAGAGATAATGTGGTTGATGGGTAGCTGCTCACAGCTCTCCTGCTTGCCAGTACTTCCATTCACTTGTAGCAGAGCCCAACCAGCATGGCTTCTTGTGCATCCTCAGCTGTGTAACAAGAAACATCGCAAAAGTGATCTAGCCTTGATTTTTATCTCTCTTTTTCTGAAAAAGAGGTCTGTAAAAAAGTATTTGTGCTTGTGAACTGCATCTATGGAATTAATAAGCTCATGTCTTCACATTGTTGTGGAGTAGCTGTGGAGTAGCCAGAGAACCAAACCAAAGCTCATTGTAACTGGGTCCCTTTGCCTGTGGTTCCATGACTGCAAGGCAGGTAGACAGAAGCCATCAGCATGGACTGTGGAGGGGCTCCCATTCTATGTATTTAATATTAGACCTTTTTTCCCACCCAGCTGGGGAGTTAAACAGTTGCTATTGTGCAATTGGTGCAATTGTCCTCTTGCATTTCAGCAATACTGTAATATGCTACCTCACTGAAATCTTTGATCCAACATTAACAGACGAGGGGCGAGCA